CCCCGGCTCTGTCGCTACGGTGATTACTAACTTGATACCCTGGAAGATTAAGTTCACTATAATCTGAGCTTCGTATCCAAGTTTTGGTTATGGATGTTACCGAAAATCTATGCTCTGTGGCAGCAAGTATATGACAAATATTTTCGTGATTCTTTACTAAAATCCTCGCATTAAAATTCATAATAGGAAAATTGTTTTGATTTTCAGAAGCATTAATTCATTTTCGTAATCCTTCTTCAGTTTCATTAATGCAATTTCCAGTTAATTTCTCAATATTATTATCGGGATCAAGATCAGTGGGGAAATTTGATAAAAAAAACAACTTTCACTAGCTTGGAACGGATAGAAATAAAGCGTTCCAAGTTGATGAAAGTCGTATTTTAAACAACCATGTTGAAATTCAAGGAGAGCAATACGAAATATTTCATCGTCTAAGTCATGAAAAGGGAAGAAAAATTTCCCAGAAGCCAAGATGGACGTTAAATTTTGCGCTCCCACCTCTTACCTTAATGAGTCGTTTTCCTAATGTCCTTTTATTGATAATTTTCACTGAAAATATGCCAAAAGAGCTAGTTTCTTTACTAAAGCAACAAAATCAAGATTTAAAGCGTAAGGTCTACGCTCTTTCGAAGGAAACAGTGCAGCTGAAAGAGAAGGTTCGGGTCGAATTAGAAATAACCTCTGGTGCTGAAGCGACGGCTACCTCTGGTAATACTAATGCTTGAAATTATGAAACTGTGTCTCGTAGTCTACAATATCTGAGCGACAAATACAACGACCTGTCGGCCTCTAATTCTGGTGTCGTTAAACATCTCAAGGGATTAAGCCGTAGTGTTAATGAGCTCAGCGCTCAAGTTGCACATGTTGTCAACGCCATTGGCGGAGTTGAAGAATATAGCTACAAATTTGATGTTGTGAACATTTAAGAAGTTTCCACGGTCAAATACTTAGGTGTCACTTTTGACTCAAACTTGACTTGGAAAAATCATGTTAATGAACTCTGCTTAAAACTATCGAAAACTGTAGTTATATTTTCCAAATTGAGGTACTATGTTAATGTTGATGTACTTATTATGCTTTACTATTCCCTTATATACCCCTTTCTTACTTATGGTATTCAAGTTTGGGGTCTCACATACCCAACCTACCTAAAATCAGTAACTACTTTGCAAAAACGAGTGGTCAGAATAATGACTTTTTCCGACCCTAGATCTCATTCTGAGCCATTGCTGAAGTCTCTCAGATTCCTAAAATTCTCTGATATAATTCATCTCGAAATTCTTTCTTTTGCTTATCAGTGGTACCATAAACTAAGCCCTTCTTGTTTTGTTAATTATTTTAACCCAGTATCTTCAATTCATTCATATAATACACGTCAATCACAGATTGATAATCTGTTTGTTAAATCTGTCCATATCACTCAATACGGCATTCGTTCTCTCAGTTAAACTAGTCCAAAACTTTGGAATTCTTTATCTGTTGCTGTTAAGAAAATCAAGCTGTTTTCCAGTTTTTGTCAATATATCAAGAACTCTGTGATTGATGGTTATAATACTATTGTTGATTATATTATCTTAACTACTATTTAATTAATGAAGTAATACTTTTTATCAAAAACAACTATTTTGTATCTATATTCCTTCTACTCATATTCTTGTTTGGGTCAGATACTCGGTTAGTTCCACGAACTATTTAGATGTCCTAAACTCTGCACAATCAACCTACAATTGAAATTTTCTTTCCCTTCACAATCTCACGATTTTGTATTTTAAAGCACTAATTTGTATTAATTATAATTATTCTGTGTGAGTTTAAATAAAAATTGACTTCACTGTAAAAACAATTAGCCTGCCAGAGAAAAGCAGTGAAACCGCAACTGAAACAAGCGCCCTATGTGTAAAATTATTCCAGGAGGTGGAGGCAGAAGTGTTTCTGTCGGACATTGACTTTGCTCATCGCGTCCACTCGAAGCGGCAAAATGGTGATCCGAAACCCATCATCTGCAAATATGTAAGACGCCTCGCAAAAGCAAGTGTTATGGAAACTCGAAAAAGTACCTCTCAAGTCAACCCATCAAACATCGGGCTGTCTGCTGATATGAGTCTCTTGATAGAGACTTGATATGTCTGTCTCTTGACAGAGTCAGAATCTTCGATCAACTCAACCCCAAAAAGCAACATCCGTTGTTTGAAGCGAAGAGATTCCTGTAAAGAACAGAACCAATACGCTTCTCTTGGGCTAAGAATTCCACTGTTTATTTACGAAAGAATGAGGGTTCCCGGCCAATAAAGATAACGGACATTGATAGTCTAAGGCGACTTGCCTCGGAGACCTGACATTATCAGTTAGATAAGTATCTTTTTGTGAATAATCTTAGTTCTATTCGTGAGTGCTAACGGTGAAATCTCTCGAACAGAACTCTCAGGATACTCTGTGTTTATTCCGTGAGCTCCTACATTTTGGGTTAAATATAAACTTAGCTCATGGTCCATTTAACAATTGTTTACCTTCCCATTTGCTGACCAAAAAGAAACTAGAAAAACTCTCTAGCATTTATGACCTTAATCTTTTCAGACTAAACGCACTTGAAGACCCTAATGCGGGTGATTGTGTCTATAATCATCGTATCCACAGAGTACGGTGGCCCACAACGGCAATACACAAATATATATTATATTACTGCATTCTATATCTTACTACACAAACATACTCATTGGCTGTGCGAGTATATTTACCAGTACAATAAAATATACACCAGTACAACAATATGTATCCCAGTACAGAAATGTTCATTTTAGTACAAAAATATATTAAAACTCCAGTAGGGAAAGATATCTCCAATTATTAGTACACAAATAACAGCTCCAGTACAAAAAAATTATCAATATCTCAGTACAAAAACATAGGTTCCAGAACAAACATATTCATCGGTTGTGCGACTATATTCCTCGGTACAGTAAAATTCATGTATACAACAGTACAACAATATGTATCCCAGTACAGAAATATAAATCTCCGTACAAAAATAAAAGTTGCAGTACAAAAAAATAAATTATACCGCGTTCGCTGGACAAGGGTAACGCGGCCTTGACGGGATTCAAGTTCCTCGACAAGTAGTTGTAACAGTCGTGAGGGAACTCAACCCCTTGGGTTGTAAGATGAGGAAAGGGAAACGACTGAAAAGAAGGAAATATTATGCTCCAGGTCCTAACTTTTGCTGACACATTGATGGATATGACAAATTAAAACCTTTTGGTTTTCCTATACATGGCTGTATCGACGGCTGGAGAAGAAAGATTATGTGGTTACAAGTAGCGCGTTCAAACAATAATCCTGAAGTTCCAGCGAAGAATTTCTTAGAGTGGGTTACTGAATACGGTGGTTGTCCAGTCAAAGTGCGTAGCGATTGTGGCACTGAAAATGGTGTCTTGGCGGCAATACAGTGTGAATTTAGAGGTACAGCTGATGCACATGTGTTTGGATATCTCCTTCTAATCAGAGGATTGAAGGGTGGTGGTCGTTCTATAGAAGGAATCGTTCTACTTGGTGGATCAACTACTTCAAAGATTTGATTGCAAAAGATGAATTTCACCCACGAAACCAGTTAGGGGAAGAAGCTTTGTGGTATTGTTTTTATAGAATTCTGCAAGAAGACCTGGACTTAGTAAGAGAACACTGGAACACTCACCGCATCCGGGACTCTAAGCATGACACTGTGCCTGGTAGACCTGATGAATTATTTTTTTTTACCAGAATGTAATGGGGGAATTGATGGGCTTCTTCTTCCAGTTTCTAATGAGAAACTACGTTTTGTGTCAGACAACTTGTTACAGCATGAAGATGAAATTAACGAATTTCAGAATTACTTTGACTACTTTATGGCTAACAGCAACTTTCATCTACCAAGCCACTGGAGAGAGGCAGAATGGTTGTATCTGCAATTTGTTAGTATTGCTACCCAGTAGATGATGAACAACTGCCTTTAACAATGAGACCTATCAAATGTAAACTATTTTTTCATTTTGTAAACCGTAGTGGTTTCGCAAGAACAACACTTTTTATTCTTGAGGTATAATGGCACCAGTCAATAATGTAGTAGCATATTGATTCAATGCTGCATGTGATTGTTATTAAAATGCAGGACTGCAATAATTTCCACCAGGTCACCATTTTAGTTGGACAAACCAGAAATATTGTTGGTCAAGTTATTTTAAATTTAAATTTCCTTCAGTACCATGTAAATCTTTAGCTTCAAAATTATAGTCTTTGGTATTTGATCTGTTTGGTCATCGTGTCAGACCACAAATAAGATTTTGTTGGACAATGGGAAAATTTAGTCAGACATTAACCGATGAGTGACTGAATCAATGAATGGGTTGAACTTAAAAATTTCTCAATTCCACTGATTTCCAGCTGCATCATATACTGTAAACCCAAGGGGAAGCTTAAAGAGACTGAGGTGACAAGAACATCTATTTTACAAGCAACTATTTGACAAATTTCTATATCCTAGATATGCCTAATAATGATGTCTCAACCTATGTGAAAGGACAGCCATTGGTAAATCATAACATCAAATGCACAAGTCGATGACTATGACTTAGATGTAGCAATATCAATATTTTTTTTAATTAATACTCCATGGAAGAAAGGTCAAAGGTAAAATGTAGTATCTTCCTATTCCTAAAAATATTCTTGACCTAAGGGTAACTGTAATAATCAAAGCAAGATTTTTTTTTCATCAATTTAAGGGATAAACACTTAATTGTATCCAGCAGAACAGCAGAGTAACGACATAGTCCTTGGTGTCATTTACAAAGAGTCAAACGCAGCATGGGTATGTCATGGGTATGACTTTCCCTACAGTGTGCGGCCTTACTGAACATTCTTTTTGTGATATCCTTCATGTCCAAAGAATAATAATTTTACAATAATTGAACAAATTTCAACATATTAAATGGCAATAAGTACACATCTCAAGGCAAGATTAACATTCATTTTTAAACCAAACTAAAGCCCTCTGAATCAGCTATAGCTGAACCCATGATACTCTTCATGTCATCTGCATTGTCAAGATGCACAGGCAGGGTAATTTTAAGAGCACATGTGGATGTGGTTGGCCGACATCGGCATCCAACTACACAGCCATGCAGAAACTGTATAGACAGTTTCTTGAGTAATCCCAGTGATGGAATAGTACTGGATCCAACTGCACACTTCAAGGTTGTTTGCAAACCATCTGTATTGAGTGATTGTATGTAGTTGGTAAAATGATAGAATACATCTATCTCCTTTTGTTTCTTAACATCAGACAAACTGAAATCCACAAGCAGCTCATTAAGAAAAGCTGTAGCTGTTAAACTGGGGGCACTTCCTAAGACAAACACTGGTTCCCATATCAGTGCTGGGTGCTCTCTTATTGACTTTAAGAGGCCATAGGTCTTCAATCCTTCTTCAAGTTTGGAGATGCTAGACAATATTGTAGGAGATTGGTCATGCATACAAATTGCTCTGTAAAAGAACAAGAACAAACTAAAATCAGCCAAATACTCCTTGGAACATAAAATTTTTAATTAGCAGAATGGGACATTTAGCAAAAGGTCCCTTATTTGCATTTTAAAAAAATGCCAACAAAACTGCTATTACTGTTCTTCCATTTAACGTAATTTCATATAAATAAATTGCTACAAGGCATTAGTAACACAAACACACTTGACTCCTGGATACAAACCATTATTTTACCAAGGCAGTGTTGTGTGGTCTACCCGGGGTTAGTGGAATGATTCATCAAGATTTAGAGTGCATTATAATTTTACTGTAACTTCCCTGAGAGCAAAAAACTTGTTATCTTGCCCTATAAAGGGGAAAGAAAGCTTTGCTTTTGCAAAAGAAAGTAAATTTTTCCCTTGCAGTCATCTGACTTCATCAGAATTTTACATTACCCTGTCACATAAAGAGGTGGGCATGTACATGTCTACAAAGGAAAACCATTTAAAAAGAAAAACAGAACAAAAAAATGCAGCTCAGCTACTCAGCTATGAGCAAGAGTTAAGGTATAATGGTTTCCAACTATTAAGTGTTTGAATCTTATGCATCAGTCAATTCCACCTGCGCCCATCATTTCCCCAGCGGTGACAAAGTCATCTCTTGTCACAGCTAACATGGACTTTGTTGGGAACCCATCAGGAAATAGCCTGTTTCTACAGTATTCAATCATTTCTATAAAATAAAAAAATCCTACATGACGAACTTGAAATCTTTCAATAAAACGGTGGTGGGGGTTGGAGGTGGGGGCCGTGGGAGCCAATATCATAATGATATTATCATCCAGAAAATCAACCCTCTTACTGAAGACAAAAAAAAAGCAACATAAATATTAATCCCAAGTCAATCTCTAGAAATTGAACCTGCCCACCTGAAAAGAACTCACGTTTTGGTCCACCATCATCAGTTGCTGGTTCGCCACTAAAAGTAATTTTGATGGTGTTCAAGGGAGAGTAGTAATCACTGCGAGCTCTGCTAAAATCTGACCACAGGTGATTTCTTTGGACAGTGACCCTTAGAGATAGAATATCTTAGAAAAATCTATTTACCTGCCCCTTCCCCTCCAAATGCAAAAGGTGGTAGTTTGAAAGTACATAGACAATATTTTTTTCCACAAGCAGGTGGGTCATTAGAAGTAGCAAGCTACAGCCTTATGCTTACTCACTGCCTAATTCACCACATAGGCAATTTTTAACCATTTACACCGCTTTAACAACAACCACACTCCTTATGATCATAGAACAATTTATCTTTTAGCTTGCCAATAATTCATAAGCATACTTGCATATAAACTTTGATCTGCATATATTACTTAATCACACTGAAAACTTGAACTCCCACATAAATTAAAACTTACTAGATCGAGAAAACAACATCTAGAGCTGAATCGTGCATCAACATTGTGCCAAAAATGCAATATAACTTATCATACAGGCACCACAAACCTGTTGACCTGGAAAACGATGAATTGCTTGGGTGTGGAACTGGAAGCTCTTCTACAGACTGAGCACATCTATCTGCATGTTCCTCAATTGCACTGATGGGAAACGTGCCCCAGCAGGTAGGGCAGTTGACCAGAAAGCAATCGTCCTCAGCTGAAGATGTTGACGGGGCTGCTGCAGTGCTTTTTCCCCTTCCTGAACAAAAAATTCTGCCTTTTTAGTGCAACAGGGTGCAATGACGGTTTTAATGCAGGCTTAATAAAATCTTCATCATCACTGGCATCTTTGGAGGCACCATCACACAACAAATCGTCCTCTTCATCAACATATCGTCGAAGATCTTCAAAGATATCTCCTTCATTTAAGAGATATAGAGTTATTCGTGCATATCCAAATCCAGACTCTTCCTTATACCTCCTCAGGACCTACGCCAGGGATGTGTTTAACTTCACTGCCATCCTTGAAGGCCAGAATGTACTCAGATTGTGAATGAATAAACCTGCTGTTGAACAGAGTATGTTTCTTTACTGCAGCGAGGCGAATGTCTTCGGCAGATGCTGTTGATGGAACCTTCAAGGGCAAGGTTTCTCCTCGTTTGATCACACCCTTCTCCTTCATCACTCCCACGTTGATCGTTACCATTTCATCGTCGACTTTTCTCTTCTTGTGTCCGGCATGCGCTTTACGAGCAAAGAATGTCTTTCGCTCTGACTCTTTTTGAGACTTGAATGTATGAACGTTGGGAAGAGAAAACGGTGTCGTAGTTGTTTCACAACGGCCAGTAGGAAATGTTCTTACTTTTACACCTTATTTGGGACAAAACTTGAACTCGTTTTCTAAACAAAATCCGCATTTAGAGCAGAATGAGCATGGACGCAGTGAAGCCATGTTTGATGCTTTGGTACGGTTTGTGAAAATGGCGCGAAAATGATGTATAAAAGGATTATGGGATCATTCACGCCAAGGCCGCGTTACCCTTGTCCAGCGGACGCGGTATAATTTATTTTTTTGTACTGCAACTTTTATTTTTGTACTGGGATTTATATTTCTGTACTGGGATACATATTGTTGTACTGTTGTATACATAAATTTTACTGTACCGAGGAGTATAGTCGCACAACCGATGAATATGTTTGTTCTGGAACCTATGTTTTTGTTCTGAGATATTGATAATTTTTTTGTACTGGAGCTGTTATTTGTGTACTAAGAATTGGAGATATCTTTCCCTACTGGAGTTTTAATATATTTTTGTACTAAAATTAACATTTCTGTACTGGGATGCATATTGTTGTACTGGTGTATATTTTATTGTACTGGTAAATATAATCGCACAGACAATGAATATGTTTGTGTACTAAGATATAGAATGCAGTAATATAATATATATTTGTGTATTGCCGTTGTGGGCCACCGTACTAAATACCCAAAAATCGACGGCAATGATGAAAAACTTTCTAGATTTTTTTGGAATTTAGCTTCTAGCCACTCAAACCAACAGCAAAAGCGGTGAAGATGTTTCGCAAATAATGGAGCCTGAATCGTTGAAAAGTCCGCCGTAAAGAATGACATTCAGCTGGAAAAAGACCACAAATTGGTCTGTGTCCGGAAATATCCAATTTGTATGAAGGGTCCTCCGTTTTAACGCCTATTTCTCTTTTATAAAACAAGCTAATTAGAAAGTAAGCTCAATGACGAAAAATTAGGCTCTTTTGTTATCGCCAAACAATTATCCTGCTTGCAGTGGTTTCTCTATATCCCGTAGCGTCCGGCCTGGAGAAACTACTGCTCGTAGAGTACTGAACAATCCGACTAAAACAAGAAAATTTCTCTTGAAATAACAAGACAAATTACACAAGAAGACAGAAATT